TCCAAGAGCACTTAAGAACACTTAACCACTAAGCCACATCCCCAGCCCTTTAAAAAATATATTTTATTTAGAGAGGGGTCTCTCTGAATTGCTTAGGGCCTCACTAAGTTGCCGAGGCTGGCTTTGAACTCATGATCTTCCTGCCTAAGCCCACACATTACAGCCATGTTCCAGCACACCCAGCTGATCTTGTCTAACCTTTTCATTTACAAGTGAGAAAACTGAGGATCAAAAACCTGTTCAAATTGAGGTAGGTATGGAACCTAGCTGTATGTAGGTCAGTGATCTTTAACTGCACTGAATAATTCTGTCGAAAATCATGGGAGGGGCTGGGGATGTGGCTCAAGCGGTATAGCGCGCTCGCCTGGCATGCGTGTGGCCCGGGTTCGATCCTCGGCACCACATACAAACGAAGATGTTGTGTCCGCTGAAAACTAAAAAAATAAATATTAAAAAATTCTCTCTCTCTCTCTTAAAAAAAAATCATGGGAAACAAGGGAAAAAGAAAAAAGAAAGTGAATGGAACCAGATGGTTGGCATAATGCCCCAAATCATCACATTTTCCCCCTTGGGAATATGTATGTAACAGTCCAGGATAAAAGTAGTTGGCAAGGGGGACCTTTCTTTTATGGTCAACAGTGTTTATTTATTTGCAGGAAACACAGGCTATGAAGAACTATGAGAAATGGACTTTATACTACAAGTAATGTGTGGTAGGCAGAACTAAGGCCCCCCAAAGGTATCCATATTCTAATCCTCAGAACCTGTCATTAAGTTACCTTAGGTAGCAAAAGGGACATTGTAGATGAACATAGGATATTGGAGCTTTAAAGGGGAAGATTATCCTGTGGGCACAATTCAGTAATTACACAAACTCAGAAAAGTGGAGTAACTTTCCCAGCCGTGGTCAGAGAAAGACACACATACAGCAATGAAAAAACAGTCCTTACACATATGATGCGAGAGAACTCTACCAGCCACTGCTAGCTTTGAAGATGGAAGAAAGAGCTATGGGTTATGAGGTGGACTGCCTGGTGGTAGGTCTTCAGCCCTGAGAAAGTTTAGAGAGAGCTGAAGTTTAGAGACAGTGACCCATTAGAGATGTTCCACCCTGCATAATGGCTATAGGGGGTAGGTGTTTGTATCAAACCAAAGAATGAGAGATATGTCTTAGATGCCTGAAAAGGGAAGGAAACAGATTCTCTCCAATATCTCACTGAAAGGAATATAGACCAGCCAGTATATTAATTTTACCCAGGGAGATCTTTGTTGTTGTATTTCTGGCTTCCAGAGCTATAAGATTACAAATTAGTATTGTCTAAACCATCAGGTTGTATAATTTGTTACATATCTAATGGGAAACTAATATACAATGTGAATTAAGATACAATGTAAGACTGGCATGCAGTGAAAAGGAACAGCATATACATGGAAGTTTATCTATGATCAACATTCCTTAGAATATATTTGTCTGGGGTGAGCATGAGGTCATAGTGAAAATAATATCCCGCATTTCCTTTAGTTGATTGCAACTGTCCCCAACTATCCCTGGGAGTCCTCTAGGCACTAGTGGATCTCACTAATTATCACCAGCCTAATCTCTAGCAACTGCACTGAACCCACCATTTCCCTTGTCTTGCTTAGATTCTCTCTGGTGATGTCTGTGGTTCTCTCAGGAGCTTGGAAATCTCACTTAAGGTGCCAAGCAGGCAGCAGTGTCTCTACTGATGGCTATTCACAGCTTCCATCAAAATTGTCTTGATCCTTTGTTGCCTTTGCAATCCTTTCAGAAAAGCCTCAAGATCCAAAGCTGTCATTTACTGACAGCCACCACTTGCCCTCTAGTGGTGAAATAGTGGTATATCTGATGACTCCATCTGCCTCATTTTTGTGTTGTTTCTTTGAAACAGTTTCATAGAAGTACTACTCTGTGTACCCATTTGTGTGTGTGTGTGTGTGTGTGTGTGTGTGAAAGCTCTAAAGTTGTACTTATAAACTCCTTTCCCTAGGATTCAGTTATAAATTGTGAGGGCTTGGCCAAGGACATTGAGACAGACTCAAGGTTGAGCTCCAAGTTATTATTATTATTTTTAGATACTAGGGATTGAATCCTGGGGCTCTCTACCAATGAGTTACATCCTCAACCTCCAACCCCCTTTAAATGTTATTTTTTGAGACAGAGGCTCCCTAAATTGCCCAGCCTGGCCTTGAACTTGTGATTCTCCTGTCTCAGCTTCCCTGGTAGTTGGGATTACAGGTGTGTAGCACTGTGCTCACCATAAACTATTTTGTTAATGGACAGTGTCTTCATGCTTTAGCTTTCTTTTTCACTCCAATAAATGATTTCCCAGGAATTCCTCATGAATAGATTCCAGGAGTGTCTACCCCAACAGATTGCAAGTTGGTATCCTTCTTCACAGTTGGGAAGTCATAGAAGAAAGAAAATACTAAGTCATGTGAATGAGTTGCCATATGGGAGTTAGAGGAGAATAGGATCTGGTAGCTTAGTTTCATATAAGCCAGATAATGAAGAGGGTGCCAGTGTATATTTTAGTGTGACTTCCTACTGTTCAGTACTTAATGCAGGCAGAATAGACACTGAACACGTAAAAAAAAATGCCTATTGAATTAATTTCAAGACAGAAATAACCATCTGGCAGAGATATGGGGACTGAAACATTGCTGAAAATGAGTCCAATATATATAAATTTGAGATGGAGGTGATATTTGAAATTATGAAGAAGTGACTACTTGGATAGAAATGAGAAATAATGGGTATTCTAACTGTTTTATTTATGAGTATAATGTGTGTGACAAGCCACAAATATATATCTCCTAGTTATATCTGCTGTGTAAGTAGGACTTTCTTATCTTGCATGTACCTTAGGTGTTCTTGTGTCTGAACATTTCTGTTCACAAAGTTTTCTGTCAAAAATTCTTAAAATTTACACTTTATTTGAATTGTTAAATAAGGTTTGAGAATAAAATTTTGCCTCCTTATATATTTTTAGTATGAGAGGTTATAACTTCTATAACTCCTTGACAATAGCTAGATTTTTTTTTGAGAGAATTTTAATATTTATTTTTTAGTTTTCGGCGGACACAACATCTTTGTTTGTATGTGGTGCTGAGGATCGAACCCGGGCCGCACGCAAGCCAGGCGAGTGCGCTACCGCTTGAGCCACATCCCCAGCCCCAATAGCTAGATTTCTAATCAAAATTCTGTACATCAAATGAGTGTCTAGCAATATGCTGCAGGAGTTACAAAATGAATAAACCAGTTTCTCCTCTCAAGGAAGATAGGAGGTTGAATAGATCACATGATGTGAAGTTCATATCAGTTACTTTTGCTTTATTAACTCTGACTGAAAGGATGGAAAGAACAATTGTTGGATGGAACTTTACCCTTTTTAAAAAATTGAGGTAGTATTACAAAACATAAAATTATCTAGTAGTCATTTTAAAATGTAAAATTCAGTGCAATTTATACTGCTTTTTAAATTTATTTTTGTATATATGTATGTAGGTGCCCAGAACTGAACCCTGGGAGTGCTTTACCACTGAACCACACCCCAGCCCCCTACCCCTTTTTGATTCTAGGGATTGAATCCAGGGGCACTTAACCACTGGGTCCTAGCCCCAGCTTTTTTCAGTTTTTAGGTGTCTTTTTTTTTTTTTGGCACCAGGGATTGAACCCAGGGGTGCTTAACCATTGAGCCATTTTGCCTTTTATTTTCTTATTTATTTATTTTTTTGAGACAGGGTCTCACTAGGTTGTTTACAGTCTCTCTAAATTACTGAGGCTGGCTTCAAACCTGTGTTCCTCTTGCCTCAGCCTCCAGAGCTGCTGGGATTACAGGTGTGCATCACCATACTTGTCTTGTTTGATTTATTTTAAACAGAACTGGGGATCCCAGGACCTTTCATGGGCTAGGCAGGCCCTCAACTACTGATCTATAACCCCAATTCCTCATCTTGCCTGAAAACAAGCTCTAGAGGAAATAAAGATTTCAAAGCAAAAAACTCCAGAGAACTGAAGTACTTAATCTCTAAATACTCCATACTGCATTGCACACAAATTTGTTTTGTTCTAGTGGATGTTTCTTTGTTTGGTACACTATCAGTGCTGAACAAATTGGTCATCTACTCAAGTTACCTATGACCAATATGTCTTTAAAAGGCTTAATGGATTACCTACTCCTGCGATCTTTATTTCCACTTATCTTATTCATTCATTCATTCATTCTAGTTAGGTATATATGACAGCAGAATGCATTTCAAAATGCATTTCAATTCATTGTACACAAACAGAGCACAACTTTTCATTTCTCTGGTTGTACACGATTTAAAGTCGAACCGCATGTGCAATCATACATGTACCTAGGATAATGATGTCCATCTCATTCCACCATCTTTCCTGCCTCCATACCCACTCCTCACCTGTCCCTCCCCTTTGTCCAAAGTTCCTTCCTTCTTCCTACAGCCTGCCCCCCCCCCTTTGGATCAGCATCCACTTATCAGAGAGAACTTTCAGGCTTTTGTTTTGGGGGATTGGCTTACTTCGCTTAGCATGATATTCTCCAACTCCGTCGATTTACGTGCAAATGCCATAATTTTATTCTCTTTTAAGGCTGAGTAATATTCCATTGGGTATAAATACCACATTTAAAAAAAAATCCATTCATCTATTGGAGTCTAGATATTTTGAATTATATTTCCACTTATTTCTTACAAGCTTACTATTGTCGAGGCAATAGTCAATACTCTTCTAACACTTGGCAAAGCTTTGGGGTCTGGCTGGGACTAAGGGAGCGCTGACGATCTAATCCTGACAATTTCTTGCACTTAGGAGAACAGCTGCTAGGGGCTGGGACGCGAGGTGGCGCTGTTGTGTTGTAGCATGACTCTGGTTCCACCTGAACTGGCGTCTCCATTGCACCTGCCCCTGTAACATTCGCTGGAGTAGGAAATGAGTAGGTAGCTCGGCAACAAGTCCAGCTGTGACAGTTTCACCAGAGGTTTCCTGCTGGTTGGTGTGTGGTGAGCGTCGGAAACCTCAGAGCCCTCAGACTTCCCTTTGTGGGGAGCCCGCCCCATCTCCATCCTTTGCTGGCAGCCACGCCCCACGGTGGGAAGGAGAAACTGGAAAGCGTTTCCTTGAGGCTGGCACACCTTGCTCAGCCTGAACCGGTCATTTTTCACTCCCCTGACTGGGCCAGTTCCATCTGAAACCGGACCGACCGGAGGAGGGACACGGTAGCGAACGGGTTTTGGGGGGTTTGAGGGAGGAAGGGGGTCAGCAATGATGCAGCTAAGGGTAGACTTTGAGGTTGGGAAAGAGACCAGGGGAGGAAGCTGGGAGTGGAATGGTTGTGATCGGCTGTTTGTGTTTTATGTGAACAAACAATCCCCAGGTGAATTAACCTGTATTTCTTCAGAACAAGCATCTTTCGGCTTTTGGCTTCTGTGTTTTTATAAGACTAAACCTGTGTCAGCACTTTTGGTGAAGAGAGCAGCAGGAAGTAAACCCTGGGACAAGAGGTCTCTCTCTATTCCCAGACAGGTGGGAGATGGAAGGAAGGAGGAAGATGAGGGTACAGAAATTCCTTGTCGGAGGACTGCACAGTTGTTCAGATGAGTGCCTCGGCTTCAGCGTCCTCCTCTGTGAAACATAATACTGAAATGACCCCAAAGGGTAGTGGTGATATTTAAATGACATAATAGGGCTGGGGATGTGGCTCAAGCGGTAGCGCGCTCGCCTGGCATGCGTGCGGCCCAGGTTGGATCCTCGGCACCACATACAAACAAAGATGTTGTGTCCGCCGAAAACTAAAAAATAAATATTAAAATTCTCTCTTCTCTCTCTCTATAAAAAAGAAAAAAATTAAATGACATATCTGAAACCATGTTTATAAACTGTACAGTGTGAGCTGCTGTTCTCCTTAACCAAATCTGCTTCTTAACTGTCTTTCCCTCTTTTTCTTTTTCCCTACCAATTACTCGACCTCATTCCTATTTTGTCTCCTTCGTTTCTCTTTCATTTGTGTGATTTTTAACTTCCTTCTCTAATGAATCCTCTCCCCATCTGAGTCTTTCATAGATTTAAGACCACACTTTCTTCCCCCCCACCTAGAGAGAGCCACCCATAGTTGTGGAAATAAAGCAGTTAGGCTCTTACACTGTGCAGCACACAAACTGAAAAGCACTTGCAAGCAAGCACAGCTTTCTGCTGCCTACCTAGTTTGTTGGCATCCCTCCACGAGAATCTCCACTCAGAGCCAGCGAGAGATCATGTATTTCAATGAAGCATCCTGAAGTGTTTGTTTCAGTGAAAATCATACACCTTTTCTTCAGCACCTCCCTTACTGTGTGAATTTGTTAGGACTGCTGTAGCAAAGGACCACAAAACCAGGTGGCTTGAACAACTGAAATTAATGTTTCAACTTTTGGAAGCTAGAAGTTCAAAATTAAGGTGTTGGCAGGATTGGTTGATTCTGAGGGATACACAAAGGGATTTTATTCCAGGCCCCTTTCTCTGGTTTGTAGAAGCTGTCTTCATATTCTACGGTGTTCTCCCCCAGTGTTGTCTGTCTCTGAATTTACCCTTTTTGTATGAACATCTGTCATAGGGGATTAGAACCCACCGTACTTACCTCATTTTATCTTGATTTTCTTTTTAAAGACCCTATCTTCAAATAAGGTCACATTTATGGGGTCCTGGGTGTTAGAACTTAAATATAGGAATGAGAGGGGTACAATTCAACCCATAACAGTGAGTACATCATGTACATCATGCTCAAAGGTAGTTAGACTACTTTGATTGTCTTCTGCAGACACTTACCCCACCTTCCCAAGCTGCTCATGTGCTCCGGGCTTCCATAGGCAGTTATGATTCTGCAGCTTTCTCAACTTTTGTTTTAAGTTGAGTATATCCCTTTTCTATGGTTGCTGTAGCAAATTACCACAAACGTAGTGGCTTAAAACAACACAATTGTTTTACCTTATAGTCATGGAGGTCAGAGGTCAGACAAGGGTAGGCAGGTCTATGTTCTCCAGATTGAACTCTGGAGGCTCCAGGGAGAACCAGTTTCCTGGCTGGCCTTGCTGGTGTCCAAAGGTTACTGGCTTTTTTTTTTTTTTTTTTTTTTTTTTTTAGCTCCTCCTCCCTTCCTCCATCTTCAAAGCCAGGAATGGCCTGCTGACTCTCACATCCCTTCACACTGACCGTTTTTTCTTCCTCTTGTACTTATAAATGTCCTTGTAATTACTTTGATAATAACTGGATAATCCAAGAAAACCTCCTCTGCTAAGGTTAGTTTATTAATTTCATCTATATCTTTAATTTTCTTTTGTTATTTTAAGCCTATTAAAAACAAATGCTTTCCTTGGGGGCAGGAAGAAGAGCAGGTGGTGGGGGGAGTGCTGGGGAGCAATATTGGCCAAATTATATTGTTAAATTGTGTGCATGAATAAATATGTAACAATAAATTACATCTTTATGTACAACTATAATGCACCAATAAAACAATGCGGAGAGAAAAACCAAAAACCAAAAACCAAAAAAACTGATGCTTTCATCAGTTCCAGAAATGAAGACATAGACATCTTGGGAGTGGCATTAATCTGCCTGTTGTACCTGTCCTGTCTCTGAAGGTTTGTCCTTCATTGGGTTTTACTGTGGGGTTTGGTATTTTACTTGCTGCTGTGCTGCTCCCTTTTAAAAAGAAGAAAAACAGCACTCACCCTAAAGACAGAATGAAAAATGTGTCTTTATCAGACAGAAGCAGGGTACCCTAATACTCACTGGGTAGCATATTAAAAGCTGGTTTTTGTTGTTGTTGTTGTTTTGTTTTGTTGCTGTTTTTTGGATACCAGGGATTGAACTCAGGGGCACTCACCACTGAGCCATATCCTCAGCCCTATTTTGTATTTTATTTAGAGACAGGGTCTTGCTGAATTGCTTAGCACCTCGCTTTTTGCTCAGGCTGGCTTTGAACTCGTGAGCCTCCTGCCTCATCTTCCAGAGCTGCTGGGATTTCAGGCGTGCACCACTGCACCTGGCTCAAAACTGCTCTTTCTATATTTGGCATTGCAGTTTAATCCTTTATGCCTAGTTAATTTCTATAAGTTATTTTACTATAAAAACTTCTTTTAGATCCAATGCTACTTTTTTTTCCAGATCGTCATTCTGTTTATTTGCTTCAAACTTACAGCACTTAAGCATTTTATCCTTGAACAGAATGATGAATAATTCTTTTTTAAAAAAAATATTTATTTTATTCATTTTAGTTGTTGATGAACCTTTATTTTTTTATTTATATGTGGTGCTGAAAATCGAACCCAGCACCTCACATAATCAAGGCAAGTGCTCTACCACTGAGCCACAATCCCAGCCCCTGAATAATTCCTTTTTAAAGTTATACAAGAAATACCAACTTAATAAAGTATATGCTTTTATAGGTGAATTTACTTTTTTATTCAACAGACATATGAATTCTGATATGTGCCAGACACTATTTTAGGTGCTGGGGATACAGTGATGAAAAAAATAGCCAAAGCCCCTAAACTCTTCCCATGAAAGTTTAATGCTTTTTCTTCTAACTTTAATATTTCAATTTTGTCCTCCTCACCAGAGTAGGTTTAGCTGGTTTGTTTCCTTGACATGCTATCTGAATTTAGAACTGGCCACTACTCTGTGTCTACTTTTGGACTGTGCTAATGGGAGAACCTAAAGAAGATGACTAATGAGGGACCTAAAGAAAAAATTACTGTCTGGTAGGAAAGAAACACGATAATAGGCAAATTTAGTATTAAGTATTGAATAAATAAATTGGGAAGTAAATGTTTTTATGAGTAGATCATGTCCTAGACAGTTTCTAATTAGAAAAATAAAGAAAGTAAATGTGAATGAATTTGCACAAAAATAAAGTTGCTAATTACGCAGACATCAGTGTTGAATGGATAGAATCCTGACCTGAATCCAGGGGCCTGAAATCTGTTTTTAAGTTCTGGCACTGTATTTGTGACCAGAGAGCAAGGCTTTGGCTCAATGGTCTTTGGTTGTTTTATAATTTTTTCCTCTTAGAAAATGAAGGTAGAGGTACTGTGAAATATCCAGGGATCCTTTCAGCTTTGAAAAAAGGAGTATTCTATTATTTAACAACTCAGAATTTCATAATAATGGGGAGATGAGTTAGAGTTTAGGATAGTTACCTCTGGCTAAGCAAAGGAAAACTAAGAATGAATGATGTTCTTATCCACTTCCTCACTTATAATCTCATTCCCTGAAGTAGCCTATTACTCTCTCAGCTCAGAAACTTCTCTAGCAGTTTCCTTCCCTATAATGCCAGCTGAGTAAGGCACTAGAGAGTCCAACTATATCATGATGTCAATACCATTTTCTTTATTTTTCTCCATTTCTTTCATTTATTCTTTATTGTATAAAAACCTTATGCCACTTTGTATGGTGGAATCTGCAGGGAACAGGAAAATTTCCTGGTACATACTCTGCTTAGCTACTACTAGGCTCTTTTATATTCCAACTTCTGAACATTGTCTCCCCTGAAACTTGATCTGTTTTCTCACTTGACCATATCCCCAGCAACTCCCCACACACACATCTTAGAAATTTGTTTTACTTAGTTATACATGACAGCAGAATGCATTTCAATTCATTGTACACAAATAGAGCACAACATTTCACTTCTCTGGTTGTACACGTTGTAGAGTCACACCATTCATGCAATCATATATGTACCTAGGGTAATGATGTCCATCTCATTCTAGCATCTTTCCTACCCTATGCCCCCTCTCCTTCCCACCCTCCTCTTTGCCCAATCCAAAGTTCCTCCATTCTTCCTATCCCCCACCTCCATTATGGATCAGCATTCACTAATTAGAGAAAACATTCTGCCTTTGCTTTTTTGAGGATTGGCTTACTTTTTGCTTAGCATGATATTCTCTAACTCCATCCATTTATGTGAAAATGCCATATTTTATTTTTTTAATGCTGAGTAATATTCTATTATATATATACACCACAGTTTTTTTTTATCCATTCATCTATTAAAGGGCATCCAGGTTGTTTCCACAATTTAGCTATTGTGAATTGTGCTGCTATAAACACTGATGTGACTGTGTTACTATAATATGCTGATTTTAAGTCCTTTGGGTATAGATCAAGGAGTGGGCTAGCTTGGTCAAATGGTGGTTCTATTCCAAGTTTTCTGAAGAATCTTCATACTGCTTTCCAAAGT